GTATACATACATACATACATAAAGCTTCAGTACTGGCATCAAAATACATGTATACATACATACAAACAAACAAATAAATTTGAAAAATCTACCTCCATTGGTATCTCACCTCCTTTCTGTTGTTGGGCATGCAGGGTTTTTTTTTCCTCTTTGCTTTGAGGTGCCAGGGATAGAAACCAGAGCCTAGCAACATGCTAGCTAAATGCTATACCACTGAACAGCATCTCCAGACCGGGACCCAGATTTTTGAGCAACTTATTTAAATCCTGGCTAGAGGATCACTCTGTCCAATCAGGTGACTCTGCATGTTTCAGATGCATTTGTGTTTGTTTAATTACTTTAGCTTTCTGAACAAAACTTGTTGTCAGAGGACAACTTTGTTGATTCAATTCCAGGTTCTTAGGGAGAGGCACCATATTGTTCCTAGTTACTGCTTATTAAACTTGGCTTGAAGGATCAAAACTGGAGGCAGAGAATCCATCCCAGAGGCAAGGACAGAAACTCTAGTGTGGAAACTACAGCGCCTCCATTGTTTTTCTCTCCCTCCTCCCAGCATATACTAATAGTACAAGGGGGGTTGTTGTGATAATTCCATATGTGTATTCACTGTGCTTTGAACAAGTTTACCCTTTCTATTATATTCCTTTAACCCCCTCCCTTCTTTCTTTTTCAAACACTATTTTGTGGATTTGAACTCTGTTCTTTTAGTGTTGCTTTGAGTACCACTCTGATACCCCCAGAAGTCCCTCCAAATATTTAGACACTCTTCATAGTCTGCCTTTTACTCTCCCATTTTTCAGATTGCTTCCTGTACTTAAGAGCTTCAGTATGAAAAGGCATAGACTTCTATGTATTCTATGTATACATAAATTTACACACTCAAGTTTGGGTTCAGAAAGTATAGTTCACTATCCTCATAGGTTTTAATCAATTACAATTATGTATCACTACTGAGGATGGGGATTGACACATCCAAGTCTTTTGAGAATCTGGAGATACTAAGTGGCTTTTTATTAAGAGAAGACCATGGGAACCAGGCACTAGTGGCTCATGCCTGTAATCATTTCTACTCAGGACACTGAGATCTAAGGATCACAGTTCGAAGCCAGCTAGACAGAAAGATCTAAAAGACTCATCTTCAGTTAACCACCAAAAAACCAGAGGTAGAGTTGTGCTTCAAGTGGCAGAGTGCCAGACCTGAGTGAAAAAGCTAAGGGACAGTGCCCAGGCTCTGAGTTCCAGCTCCAGGACCAACACACACACACACACACACGCACACACGCATGCACACACACACACACACACACACACACACACACACACACCTCTGAGGAGTGTAGGAATATTGTAGGAAATAAACAGACATGGATGACATAGATAGATGTGGATAACGCTGTGTGTGTATGTATGTGTGTATGTGTGTTCCTTGAGTCTGTTTCTTCATGTAGATAGCTAAGTTTAATTGATAAAAGAAATAAACTTCCAGGAGCTTGTCAATCACCTGTAGTCTTAGCTATTCAGGAGCTCAGAAGTCTGAGATCTAAGGATCATAGTTTGAAGCCAGCCTGGGGAAGGAACATCTGTGCGATCTCTTCTCCATTTAACCACCAAAAATCTGGAAGTAGAGCTGTGGCTCAATTGGTAGAGTGCTAAACTTGAGCAAAAACGCTCAGGGATAGTGCCCAGACCCTGAGTTCAAACCCCAGGAGTGGTACAAAAACAAATGAAAAAGAAGTAAACTTTGAAGTCATAAAGAAATTAAGTATTTTCCAGCCTAAAGTTTAGTAGGAACTCAACTGACACAGCTCTATCATTTATACATGAGAAAGCAAGGTGCAGAGTGATGTGACTTGTCTTAGCTTCACACTGCCAGTTAAAGAGTAAGTCATAATAGAATCCAGCATTCTTTCTACCAGTCTATACTTCCTTCCATGAGAAAAGAGGTCCAGCCTCATGAATTAGGAGGCAAATCCATCATAGGGCTGGGCACTGGCCACTGAAGAGACCTGAATTATGAGGATAGTGATTCATTGATGATTGTTGATCCTACATAATATTCTAAATACATAAAGAATGATACATCCTTGAGGAGCTGCCATCCCCATTGATGGTCATATGATGCCGTGTCCCTCAATCTTGTGAGTCATTTCACAGTGAGAAGAATTGGCTACTTTCCTGTGCCAAAGGATTTGGAGCCTTTTCCTCCCAACCCCACCTGTTCTCACTTTACCTAGTTCCAATTTTACATGTATACAGTGAATATTACGACTGCCTTTGCCCTCCCTTCCTCTCTCCATTTGTCTATACCCCTTCCCTTGGCCTTACCCCTACACAACAACACATGTTCCAGCTTCCTGGTGTCATTTTGTTAAACTGTAAGATGTTCATTGGCATTTTCTCTGCATATACTATACTTTAGTTAACACGTTTGTGTGTGTATATGAGTATGGCTGTGTATATGTTTACATGTATCTTTATAATGTCTATCTAACTTCCACATATGAGAGAAAATATGAGCCCTTGTCTCTCTGAGCCTCACTTACTTCACTTAATGTAATTTTTTCCAGGTCCATCAATTTCCCTGCAAATGTCATACCATTTTTCCTGTTGGATGAGTAAAATTCCTATATATAACTACACACAGACACGCATATACATGTATATATAGCCATCTTAAGGACTGTAGCATCATGTGGAAGTACTTTGGGAGCAGAGGTACTATGATTGGCACATAGTAGATGGTCAATTGTAGTTTATGATGGCTATGATGATGAAGGTGATTATAACTGTTTTTTTTTTTTTTTGAGTCCGATCGTGGGGCCTGAAGTCTGGGCCTGGGCGCTGTCCCTCAGCTCTTCAGCTCAAGGCTAGTGTTCTACCACTTGAGCCACAGTGCCACTTCCGGCTTTTTTCTTTTTGCTTATGTGGTGCTGAGGAATCAAACACAGGGCTTCAGGCATACAAGGCAAGCGCTCTACCACTGAGCCACCTTTCTAGCCCCTATGAATGTTATTTAAACCCTCACATAAAGGCAAGTGGCCAGTTTACCAAGTCCTTGAGGGGTTGCCTTTCTAGGTCAGAGCCTGCTGTGCAGTCAGTTGAGGAAACGTATGTTGGGTTTGGGGCTGAGAGTGTGGTAAAGAGAAGAGAAAACTTAGAAACAATCTTGCTGCTACAAAGTGAGATAAAAGGGGTGTGTGTGTGTGTGTGTGTGTGTGTGTCTGTCTGTCTGTCTGTCTGTCTGTCTCTGTCTCTGTGTCTTGGGGCTTAAAAACAAGGCCTGGATATTGTCCCTGAGCTGGCTCAAGCTAGTGTTCTACCACTTGAGCCACAGCTCCACTACTGGTTTTTTGGTAGTTAATTGCCCAGGCTGTTTTTGAAACATGATCTGCAGATCTCAGCCTCCCAAGTAGCTCAGATTATAGGCATGAGCCACTGGCTTCTGGCTTGAGATAAAGGTTTTAATAAATGTGACTAGGTGCTTCATGGCCCTAGTCTCCTTTCCTTCAGGGGCTGAGAAGATTAAGCATTGGTAGTACTGTCACGAGCTGAGCCTGGACTGTGGTGTGCCAGGCACACTTACTCCATAAGGAGGGAGAGGGATTCTCACTACAGCCCTCACACCAACCCTTTTTTACTCAGTGAAAAAGTTGAGGCTCCACATAGTGGAGTGACTTTCCCCAGATCACATAATATGGCTAATCAGAAGTCAAACTGGAAGCGCTGTACTCACCCATTCCCCAGGGTCCCACCTTGATGATGGGACCTCCATACACTTTTTCAACTAATGTTCTCCCAAGATCCTCCTCCCTTCCATTGTCATTTGGTACTCAGGGTAGATATAGGTGGATCCTTCTATCCCCAGACCAACTAGAGTAACATCTTTCTCTCTGAGGCCAGAGACTGTGATCTGTTCATCTCTGTTTTTTGGTGTTTTTATTTTTTACAGTGTAGCCAGGGAATGAGTGAGTCCTAGGGTGAAGAGGGTGGAAGAAAACAACTAGGGAGAAAAGGAGGGCTGCATTTCATGCTCCTTTACTTCCAAGATCCCTGGTTCTCCTTCCTTCTCTCCCTGCCCCCAACATGCCAACTCCTCTGGCCTAACATCCCTAACAGAGGTGCATGTACACTCATGTGCATATATAATATGCACACACAATCCCTTGGATAGGCATATGTGCACACATTCTTCTCAGGGAGGAGGAACAGAGGAGAGAGCAGTGGTTCAGAGTGCATTCATTCCTTCACTTCTCAGAGCCTTCCACAACTCCACTCTGCTTTCATCCTTCCTTTGCCCCTGAAGGGGCCTCACAATGAAGGCAGACCAATGTAGTAGAAAGGAACCTGGCAGCTGACTCATTTACCCTCTCTACTTCATTCTCTTCATCTGGAAAATAAGCAGGTTGGGCCAGGCAGTTGGCAAAGCTTCTATGTGGTTAATAATACCTGGCATTTGTCTACGGAGCTCCAAAGAACTTAATCATCCCCAAAGCTCTGTGAGGATCAGCCAGTTACAAAATGGGGAGACTGAGGCTCAGACTAAAAGAAGTGATGCTGACTTGCCCATGTCATGGGACTGGGAAATGGCAGAACCAATATCTGGGCTTAGCCAATAACTGAGCTTAGGGCTCTCTGTGTTTAAGGCTCAGACTTTGCCCCACCCACAGCTGCTGGCTCCTTCTCAGGCCACTCCTCACTGTAACCTCTTAGGCCCCATGGTACTGATTCCTGATACATCTTTGACATCATCTCTGATCACTCTTAACCCTGCTCACTCCTCCACAGCCACCCTGTCTTCCTCCTTCCCTCACCTCTGCCCTGATTGGCTAGGCACTCACTATCTCATGGCCCGTGCCCTTGCTAATTCTCCCTGCTTGAATAAAAACACCCTCTCCTTTTCATGTTGTACATTGGACTCAAGGTCACTACATGGGGTGGGGGAAAAGAGTAGAGAGCATATGCTAACTGTGTTGTTGTTTTTTTCTCTGTTTACCTTTCAGATCTGATGGTGAGAATTCCAGAACTGTCAGGTCAGTACCTCGTTTCTTTAGTAGTAATTGGGAGATAAGGCAGGGCCTGGGCTGGGGCAGGGGTCAGTTTTGTTATTTTGGGATCTATGGGCAGGGGTATGGGTCAACTCCAGGGTTCTCCCCTTCTTGGTGGTAGGGGTGGGAATGGAGTGAAGTAAGAGAGGAGGGTGAATGTGGCAGGTGTGAGGAGAGGGTTGAAGACTCTTCTTCAGTCTCTTTGGCCTTTATTGATTTAGAAGTGTGGTTGAACATTGCAGGGGCTCATAGGAGTAGGCCACATATGAAAGCCAGTCTACAGAGTGGCCAGCACTGGGCCTGAAACCCTCTCTATCTTCTCCTCCCAGGCTGAAGAGGGCATGGTGGATGTTAGGTTTCGGGATTTGGATGGACTTTGGATGTGACAGATTCTAGACATTAGAAATATCTATGATGGTGATAAGGAAAGGGTGTGTGTGTGTGTGCATGTGCACGTGCATGCATGCACACACATGCGCACTTGATTTTAGAAGTTTACAAGCTTCAGTAAGTTTTAATGGTGTGAGCATTTGTTACCTGGGGAATCAGAAGTAAACTGGGGTAGGGGTCTTCCCCAGGCATTCACCCAGGAGAAGCTTCATGCAGGCAAAAGTGTCAAATATAGAGAAAATGATGAGGGCTCAGGATGTGGCCCAGTCATTCTTAGCATCTAGACTTAGGTTTCTGGGATTGCTGTCTGAGATGAGATGTGCCTAGAGACATAGGACAGGGAATAGTCACAGCCAGGGCAGCCATTGACATAAACAGTACCTCTGTGATAAATAGAAAAATGTTCCCTTCCCAATGCCCCTTCTGGATGATCCCTTTTCTTCTGAAACAGTTTGGTGACTATAGTGTAGTCCCTGCTTATATCCTCTTGGTTGTAACTGCTTGTGTAGACCACAACTTGTCCAACGATATTCAGCAGCGTAGATCCTGTCATCCAGACAGTAGATACGGGCTAGGGTCAGAGGATTCCAGCACACAGATAGACACTTGGCCAGGATGGACACACTGATGCCCAGAACCAAAGTTGGGGCTATGAGATGACAGCAGCCTGATGTCAGCATTACAGCAGGGAGAATGTGATGGACACAGTTAGCCTTAGTGTCCAGGCAAGGGGTTTATGATAACGCACAATTAGTCCTGACATGCTGCCAAGGAGTATGGCACAGGCACAGCTTGTCCTAGCACTTAGGAATGTATTTGTCTAACAAGGGAACATGGATCTCACTGTCACACTGTAGGTTTGGAGGAAGGTGACCTGAGCTGACCCTGAGCCTGGGGTTCTAGTAGGAATCTCTGATGATGTGCCTGCTGCTTGTTGAGAGACCAGATTGAAATTATCTCTGTAGTTCATAGCTCTTCCCAGTAGGAGACTTCTTCCACTTAAAGGATTTGACTAGTGATCATAATCGTAAATTGTATATATCACAATCATCAGTCATAAGCCAACATATGTTGTGTCTTTCTTTTTTTTTAATTTAATTTAATTTTATTTGTGAACATACTGTACAGAGGGGTTACAATTGCATGGGCAGGATAATGCGTACATTTCTTACCAAGCATTGCAGCCTCCTCCTTTGTTTACCCTTCCCATCCCTTCCCAGCCTCCCCCTGGCACAAGTTGCCAGAATTTCTTTTCTTTGATCCTCTCTGTGACACTGTCGGTGAAACAAGGGCTGGCCTTATCATCATTGTTTTGTAATTGAGGAAACTGAGGCTCAGGGTAGTTGTGGATTTTACCTAGAGTTTTATAACTAGTATACAGCTAAGCCAGGATTCAAACCCTGGTCTTCTTGGCACCAAGCCTAGAGTACTGCCCACATGGTCACTGCTAGAACTCTCAACAGACTTGCAGATAATCATCATCATCATCATCCAAATATTACTGATCATAGCAATTATCATTGATTCCTCACATGATAAGAACTTGGAATATGATATTATTTAATGCTCACAGCAGCCCTGTGAGGCATGGATTATGATCTCTGATTTATAGATCAGGAAAAGGAGGTTCTAAGAGGATCAATGCCTTGCCTAGAAAAAGAAGAACAATGAGGCAGTGGGGAATCTCATCTCTATTATTCTTACCTTGGGCTCTCTGCTGTAAAGCCAGTGTGTTTTACTCAGACTTACTTCCTGACATCTATCCTGGGGCCATGGTCTAGAAACTATAAGGGCCTTGAGGATTGTACAAGCAATCAAGTAATGGTCAAACTCAGGCAGTGGGGAAGGCCTAAAATGTATCATGTTTGGGGCAAGATCTTGCAAAATGGTAAGAAGATACTTAATCATGGAATCAGTGCTAAATGGGGTCCTCTGAAGATGCTCTCAGGACTTACATATAAATTCTCCAGTTCACTGGGCACTGGTGGCTCACGTGTGTAATCCTAGCTACTCAGGAGGCTGAGATCTGAGGATCCCAGTTCAAAGCCAGCTCCATCAGGAAAGTTCATAAAACTCTGATCTCCAATTAATCACCAGAAAACTGTGACTTGGCACTGTGGCTCAACGTGGTAGAGTGCTATCCTTGAGCAAAAAAGCTCAGCGACAGCACCCAGGACTTGAGTTCAAGCCCCATGACTGACTGCCTTAATAAATAAATAAATTAATTAATTATGCAGTTCCCTCCAGTTAGGGGTCAAGGAGAGCTTCCTGAGCAGGGCTGTGCAGGACTGACTTTTCATATCAGCATGTGTAGGGCAGCCAGGGGTGTATTTAAAGAGAAAGCAGTTAGTTCAGCGAAAACAGATCTAGATCAAGTTCAGAATGCTGGTCAGGGTCTGGCTCACAAACATCTTTTGAGGAAAGTTGGAAAGAGGCTGGGCTCTGTAGCATAAAAATGGACAAGAACTTTGGATCCATCCAATAAATATATGTATGTATATGTATGTGTGTGCGTGTATGTGGACAGAGAAGGGTTTAAAAGGTAAGGAGAGGGACTGCTATGAAAAATGAACAGCAAGTACTGAGCAGGGTAAGTGGATTGCAAACCACCCAGGGCCTAAGCTTGAAGGCTTCTAAGTATTGGGTGCCAGAGGAAGCGTAGATTCTAATTAGAGCTGAACATCTGGTGATGGGGGAGGGATGGGGACAGAGGAAGGTGCCTGGACTGCCCATAGAGCTGAGAGAACTTGTCACACCTAGAGACACGTTAAGCCAAGGTCCAGAAAAGGACTGGCAGTGGCTCAAGGTCGCAAAGCTCTCTATCAGTAGATCCTGCTTCCTAGCTACATGCTCTTTATAGTCTCATTTAGCTTCTCTGGTCCTTAGTTTCTGTTGGACAAAAGGGAAATGATAATTCTGCTTCTCTGAGTGGATGAAAACTTAAAGCAGTGCTCAACGTAAAATAGTGGCTCAAACAGACAGTAGTGTCCTTCATCCTCATCTAGTCTTTTGCTAACCCCAGCCATTGTTGTGTGCTGTGAAGTCAAGCTGGAAAAACAAAATGTGGAGTATAGAACTTGAACAGTGATGAGCAGGAGGGACCTGGTGAATTCCCTCACCAGAACACAAAGGGAACCAGGAGCCCCAAGGCTCTGCTGGCAGAGAGGGGCCAGACTGGAACTCTGGGGCCCTAGGGACCAGGCAAGGGTTGCTAGGCACGCAAGGATGAAAGCTGGAGGAGGTGGCCTGTTGCTAGGAAAGAAAGGAGGGGGTGGGGGAGCCACTGACACCCGCAGAGCCAGGGACATCCCCATGGCAACGGGAGCCGCAGTCTGGAGGAGAAGTGGGAGGAGGAGCCACTGCTGGCTCTGTTCCCAGAGGAGGCCTCCCACTCTGGGCCTCAGTGCCCCCATCTGTCCGGGAGTTAGGATTAGGTAATCTCAAAGATTCTTTCTTGGCAATCTCAGTTGACAGAGACCTCATAACCCTTCGGTGGCTCCCTCCTTCATACGACTAAGATACCAGCAGGTTCTAGGAGTGCCGTGTCTTAATTCATCCTGCCCATTTTGCCTCCTGTTTAGCTCAGCCCAGCCACCCCACCTTGTCTAGACCTCTTTCCTTTGCCTAGACCCTTGTCATTTACTGCCTGCTGAATTCTTTCTGGTTCTGGGGTCACTTATCTGCCAGTGCTATAGGCTTATCCACTCGGATTGCTTCCTTCCTCACTGGCTTCTTTGGCTTCAAAAGTCTGAGCCCCTCACGCTGTCCTTAGGAATTGAGCCACTTCTGAGAGCTGGGTTCCACACAAGTCACTTGTCCAGGCTCACATCCTTTTCAAGACATTGATGAGGTCATATTGTAATCTGCTTTTAACCTAGAAGAGCTCCAGGGACTTGTCTGTGGGTACTATGTAGTGAGGCTGTGTTAAACTTGACTCTATATAATTGCTGCTACCCCAAGCCTAAGGTGGAGGTACGATTTATCATCATGAGCAACGGCAATAGCTGCACTTTACCGAGCGATAAGTAAAGCTTTCCTATGCCGGGCACCATGCTAGGTCCATACTTTCCCAACAGTGTATTTCATCTTCACAATAATCCTATAGGGAATATATTCTTGTAATTTGAAAGATGAGGGGGTGTGTGTAAAAAGGCTTAGAAAGCTTAGCTAGTTTGCTCCATGGTAGATGTTAAGGTAGAGTCTAGGTAGATTTGTGATCACACATACTATCCTGTGGTTAACCTGATTGCATTCCTGAAGTGTGTACAGAACATTTGCCAAGTTAGTGTGTGTGTGTGCATGCGTGTGCAGGGACTTGTATTGGACGATCTGTGGGGTGACAGAAACAGGCCGTCGGGGTCCTAACCCATGGGAGCTTCCAGTCTGGATTGGCTACAGACACAGATGAGCCAGCTCTGCAGGCCCAGATGGGAGTGTGATAACACGGTGGACAGCCAATGTGTAAGGAGAGTCTAGAGGCTTTGAGCTAGATTCTGATGAAACGGAGGAAGAAAGAGGTAGGGGGAAGGGGATTGAGGATAATTTTCCCAAAGGAAATACCTTCCTAGGAAGCTCCAGAGGGGTAAGGAGCAAAG